TTTTTAGGTACTGAGTACTGCACACAGAGGACACCACAGCTGCATCATGAAGCATTTCACAAAACATACAGTCAGAGACCCTATTTCACCGACCGCCAATCTCCTAATATCCAGTCCACTGAGCATTCTACTAGTTATCAAGTCTCGAATTCGGTGACACTCAATGTTTCCCGGGAATAGCTATCTGTAGGAGTCGGTGTGGGGCAAGATGCATAGATTAGCCGGCGAGCCAGATCTGGCCAGGTCTACCGACTAGGTTTCCCTTCCGAAATCGCTCCGGATCCCAGTACGTGATCAGTGCAGGGACGTATCAGAAATTGAGGCCAGTTGATCTGTAGAGCATTAAATCAACGGCAAGTGCAAACCTACTCCGGTCAGGGAAAGAGTCTCAGCAAACGAGTCCGATCTGTATTCTGACAATGGGCGTCGAAGAAGACCACTTCGTGTGAGGCAGGCGACGTGGCTGTCTTGACAATGTATATCGTTGTGGCTTGGATATGCAAGGATATTTGCTTATCTTCTAAGCTGTCAGCTCACGCTTTATGCAGATTCTTCCCACATTTTCCCATGCGCAAGCCTCTACACCTAGATCACTGCGTAAGCAGTCAGTCAAATCGTGACCCTAAGGTCGGGAGCTTATTAGGTCGCGATATGCTCGGCGCCAACGCTACAGAGTGCACCACTTCTCAGTTTCCTTCTACTTGTCAATCAACAAGCAGAGATTTCGGATGATGACTTAGTATCTTGACACCGGCCACTTCACCACGATCGCATCAGCCTAGCATTCCAATCAGGTGACTCGTGTTAACAGTCACCACTGTTGATTCTTCCCCACCGCAACATCTTGTAAATCGTTGCGAAATCACAAGGGACCTACCTATATTTTATTTAGAGTAGCATTGCGCTTGAGCCTAACAGCGCGCGACCACCGACACAGATACTGCGCCGAACCGTTAAGAAGCTTTGCAGTTGTACAATGCAAAGCCACGGGTATAACTTCGGTACACCGTACACACAGTATACTACTTAGTATGTGTGACTCTTGGGGTCTTGAAGGAATGCATAGTGCTTATGTAGTTTACTCAGTACATCGCCAATCATCAAAGCACGGATAAATTCTGGGAAGGGTCTGGTCTCGCCACCAAGGGGTGGATCGCCAGGGGACACTAAGCATGCGCGACCCGCCGATCCACTTATCGACAGCCGCAAACTGCGACCGAATTTGCTGCTGAGAAGCTCGAGAACGTCATAGTACAGGGAAAGTGCCTGATAGAGGAAAACTTTTAACCGCAACCATGCAGGGCCGATACGTCACTTTCCATGATCGCATCAGTAGGTTGACCACGGTTCGGGTCTCGGGTTCCGGTCCCATCCTGGACTGTGTTGTGAAAGGAGAGAAACCCTAAGTCGATAACAAGCTTAATGGTCGAAAACATGTCACAGATCGGATTGTGTCAACTTATTGAACTTTATCGCTCTTCTAACTTCGATCATTCATTGCTTTTCGGGTTGAAAAAGAGATTCGCAGGCTAAAATCTTCCAGAATGCTGAGTAGGAGCTGGTGATAAAAATTCAAGCATGATATCATAAGCATTCCATGTGGGTCTGCCCCTGCTGACCGTCCGAATTCCACAGAACGATTATTCGCCCACGATCAGTCCTCTAGTGCCATAGAGTTCCATCAGAAGCTCGGTCCAACGCTACGGTGTCGCTCATGTGTCTATGACACCATCAACAAAACCGGAAATGTGTCGTGACAACCACAGGCACTTCCTGGCTCACCATCTAAAATTTTCTTCAGCCAAGCGGATTAGACTATCTATTCAGGAAAACATTGCTATGTCAACACAATCCAACGCATCACATGCCATAATTTAGTCAATCTTTCTACTACCGAGAGTGAAATCGTCTCTGGGCCCGTGGTGCTGTGTTGGTCGGAGACCGAATTGTGGATCGGCACCGCCAAGTGGAGGCCGTCCCGACCCCCCATCGGGACCAACGGGAATCAACCGGTGAAGGTCGAAGGGGGCGAACTATGACAACATTCCACAGTTCAGCATAGCATGCGCATCAATTGCCCTAATAGCACGACGCATCGACGTAGCATCATGTACACACACGGGTAGACGAGTAAATAGTTCATCTGTTTTAGGAAAGTCCCACGACCTTTAAAAATTCTTTCTTCCCCGCCTCCCCCTCCTCTGCCCCGCTCGCTCCACGTTCATGGTTCTTTTTCAACCCCGAACTTCCCCCCTTCGATATGAAATTTTGCTACTAGATCTTCCCTCAGTACACCTATATCATTCACACAGTACGGTAAAGAACTCATATCATGGCCGACCCCTTAAGCCGGGCCGAATCACAATCACCGAGCAGCAGCTTCTCCGACAAGGAGAAGGGCAGCGACAGTCAGGATAGCGGGGATCGCATCGTACCTCCCTGGCACGGAGGCGCTGAAGATGAGGTTGGCTCGCTGCGTTCGAATGGAAAGCGAGAATTGAAGGAAGAAGACTGCTACGATAAGCTGGCCTACTGTTGGCCCCGCTGGAAGAAATGGACGTACCTCGCGGCCATCGCCTGTGTCCAGGTCTCCATGAACTTCAATACTTCCGTCTTTCCTAATGCTGTGAAGCCTCTTTCCAAGGCCTTTGGCATCGGTCAACAGGAGGCCCGAACGGGACAAATGATCTACCTGATCACGTACTCCATTGGGTGTGAACTATGGGCGCCATGGAGTGAGGAATTCGGTCGGTGGCCGATCCTCCAGCTCTCTATGTTTCTTATCAACATTTGGCAGATCCCGGCTGCTTTGGCCCCAAACTGGGGAACGATCTTGGTCGCTCGTGGATTGGTAGGTTCCCATTCGAGTTTCTGAAGCTGGCAGTTCAACGACTAACATGTACATCACTATAGGGCGGAATCTCAACGGCAGGTGGCAGTGTCACTCTTGGTTTGATTGCCGATCTGTACGAGGCGGAAACGCAGCAGTTTCCCCTGGCTTTCATTGTCTTGTCATCCTGCATCGGAACTAGTATTGGTGGAGTCATTGGTGGTCCGATCGAACGCTGTAAGTGATGGTCCTACTCTGGCATTGCAGCGAGGAGAAAATATGTACTGACCGCATCCTATCAGTCCTGGACTGGCAATGGTTCTTCTGGATCCAGCTCATCTTCGGTGCTGTCACCCAAGCTATCATCTTTTTCATGCCCGAGAGCCGATCCACTATCCTCATCGACCGCGAAGCCAAGCGCCGCCGCAAATCCGGCGAAGACCCCAACATCTACGGCCCCAATGAGCTGAAAAAGCCTCGAGTGTCCCTCAAGGAAGCCGGAAAGATCTGGGTGCGCCCATTCTACATGTTCCTGCGGGAGCCGATCGTCCTCTGCCTGTCGCTACTATCCGGATTCTCCGATGCGCTCATCTTCACCTTCCTGGAAGGCTTCAGCATTGTCTACTCGGAAGGCTGGGGCTTCGGGGTGCTGGGCCAGGCGTGGGCGGTGATCCCGATCAACGTCGCCTACGTGATCGCCTACTTCTCGTACTTCCCCTGGTTCTGGCGCGACGAGCACATCCGCAAGACACAGGGCGACGATGCGCTGCCCCCGGAGCGCCGGCTGAAGTGGCTGCTGTACCTGGCGCTGCTGGAGCCGATCGGACTATTCGGGTTCGCCTGGACTTCGCTGGGCAAGGAATATGGGGTGCCGTGGATCGTCTCCATGATCTTCTCAGCCATGGTCGGTATCGCCAACTACGCCATCTACCTCTCGTCGGTCGATTACATGGTCGCCGCGTACGGTGTCTACTCCGCCTCCGCTACCGGCGGCAATGCTTTCTGCCGTGACCTGCTGGCCGGTATCGCGGCCATGTACACCACCCCCATGTACACCAACATCGGCGACAAGTTCCACGTCGAGTACGCTACGACCATCCTGGCCTGTCTGTCTTGTCTGGTCGTCATCCCCATCTACGTCTTCTACTGGAAGGGCCCGCAAATCCGCGAGCGCAGCAAATTCGCCCAGACGCTGGCCGCGGACAACAAGGCGAACCACGGTCATCGCGTGAGCAAGGCCTCCAGTGTGAGTCGCTTGAGCTCGCTATAAACCTACTCGTGTGGTGCATTTTTCATCTATTGTTCCCATTCCTGCATACATATTTTTTCAACCATTGTACATACATACCCACGAGGGTGAAAGGAGGTAGCTTGATGCATGTTCAAACCTTTTCGAATTATCCAGCGGTTTCCGGCAGACATAATTCAAGTAGGGGTCACGAGATGAGAGATATATCCGGTATTCCCGTTAGGGCTTACCAAAGGCCCTTGCGTAAGATAGCGAGACTCAAACCTTGTATCCCTTGATTTCCTGTCCATGCTATGAAACGTAATACGGTTTCGCTCGAAGCGGTGCGCTGATCCGGACCGTCCCGTAGGAAGCCTCTAAGAACACACAGTTAGCGCAGCAGCCCAGCGTGTCGCCTTGCTCTGACCTTGGATAAGCTGTCCACGGCGTTTTACCGCTCTTTGTGGGGAGGAGATTAGAGCCAAGACAACCTTGGCAGCGGTGATTGGTCACACGCACTACAAACCGTTGGCATTAGAGAGCTATGGCGACATGAGGTTTAAGAACAATAGTATTATAGACTGAAATCGATAAAAGGGATATCAAACGTCTCCACATCAATTTGGGAATATCTTCGGGGTGAAATAGCCTCAAAAGTCTGCCGAGATCAAGATCACAGAAACGAAAAGGTCCAGGCCACTCTTCTCTCCGCTCAAATCCGAGCTATACCAACTCAGTTCGGCCGGGTGTTACAATATCGATGCACTCGCAGTCGGTGCTCCAGCAAATCATCATGACGGTTAAACAACCGGCCGCATTTGGGGAAGAGACACACATACGACCCAGGAGCAAGGTGGGTGTGCCGGATGTGCCGCCAGATGTCGGCCTCTCTGTTGAAGGCCGGGCGGCTGGGACAATCCCTCCAGTCGCATCAGATGCCGGTTACGTTACTGCCTTGGCTGCTAATCTCATCAGAAAAAGGAATCCAGTCAGCTTGGACCGGGTCTCATTAGTCTCTTTTATCAGAAGACGACGGAAAATGCACAAAAATACCTGGACCGGCGCCCCGCTACTGGTGAGAATGCGAGAGGTGGGTGGCTCAGGCATGGCTTCTTTGAAGATGTTGCTGCTACCACTGCCGCTGGCCCCGGTTTGAGTAGGAAAAGAGATTTGATCGCGTACTCTTCGTCTGGTTTCAACGACAGCCGGAATGGTGTTGATGCTTTGGCCGCTGGGGCCGCTGGCGAGTGTGTGCAGCGAAGGATGCGTATGGGTCCCCCATGGGTCAACAAGGTAGGGCACCGCGCCGGGAGAGAGCGCCGTGCCGAGGGGGGCCGTATGCCATTGCATCCAGGGGTTCAGGTACGTTGGCGTGGCCGTGAGCTCGGAGGATCGAGCCGTGGGATCTTGGTGCTGTGGGGGAGCACTTGTGCCAAGCATTGAGTTGGCTGCAGGTCTCGCCGGTTGAAAAGATGCTGCTATGCTGAACGTCCCGGGGTCATCTTCCGGGTTATACGAGTACGAAGGGACCATGCTAGTCCACCCACCAGGCAAACCTTGGGTATCGGTCATAATGGTACTGAGACAAATGTGAGGCTGAGGTGCTCTGGTTTCGAAAAGCTGCCAGATAGATGAGGTTAAATACTTCCGAATGTCCCGTGGGTGTTGGGATTCAAAGCGATGAGATGGCGATGTGTTACGGCGATTGCTTTGGTGCCGGCCCTGACAGGCACACCAGAAGAGCCGCCTTGTTTGGCGCTTACAGGACCATACAGCAAGCCATGTTCACAGTGACCTTTCCTCGCTGTGTGTTGAGTTGGGGGGTGGATGTACATGTACGAAGCAACGTTAGGGGGTTTCACAAATGGGAAATCGATACGAGAACTGGGAAGAGGTAGCAGGGTGGTCACACTCCAAGAGTAAAATGACTTCACAGCCAGTCCCAGAGGTGTTCTAGCCAGTTTCACAACATTAGCCAGGCTAGTCGGGCTCGACAAGAGGACACCGCCACCGATCTTTATTGGCCCTGCGTTTGGTCACTGGTTCTAGACTACGCCTCGGGGCTGCCGATTTGATTTGCCCCATAATTTGGGTGATTTGCCGCTATTGAGCAACTCTCCTGTCCAGACCGTCGTCTAATCAATACCTGGGCTCATCACCAATGGCCTGACAGTGACGGGATGTCTGATAATGCATTGCCGACAATTGTATGAGCCTGTATATTTACCCCAGCTCTGATCACCACATGGACGGAGGGGAGAGTAGAGGCGTAGAGAGTACTATCAAGGATGACTCACAATTGAATTCTTTGCCTTAGTTCTTCTCTTGGCTTTGTATTCCATCCATGGATCTCATTGGCTCGGTCAGAGCGATACTGAGCCTGCCTGCATGCATGAGCCTTGAAGGATCTCTAACAATAGAGGCATCTGATTCGTTCATCCTGCGCGATTTGCGTGCAATGTGTATGGATGTACTAGGTAACTGTTGGCATGAGATAAATCTTGACGTGTCTCATATTTCCAGCAAAGTAGCATATTTTAGGATGGGGTCTGTATTGCGGCTGTGGGAAGTGAAGAAGCTGCGCCCTCCTGGATGATACGTTGCGTGACGAATAGTCTCGGTGTTTACATCGCACCCTTCTTGGTCGCATCCGAGGTAGTTCTGCCAGGATCGATGATGGCGACATTTCCCATTGAGGATGGGCAATAACGCTACACCCACGGCATGTGAGTGAGGCTGACAGCTAGTTTCTAAACGCGGTCTGCCTTGAGTAGAAAGGGTTATGTGTGTTTAACTACTGTTGAACAGCCCGCAGATAGCTCGGAACTCTAAACGTACCGTACATGGGCTTCCTACGAACTGCTTTCTGATGTGCTATATACTTACTGGTCCTCGGCCCTATCAATCGATTCCCAGTTGAAGCCTCTCGGCAAATACTGACAGTGGCAGTAGTCCTAAAGGGGTGTACGGGTCAATAAGGTTGTTGATCTATAAAAGGCGGAAACATGCACAAGGAAGGAAATATATCTCAAATGCGCCTACCCAGTAGTCCATAAAATCAGCCCATAGAATACCTGAACCACCGTTAGAAGACTTGCCTAAGCATCTGCTTGATGTTCTACCACCGCATTTATTAATCTAAATGTGCATAGCTAGTCACAATGGAGGTGAAGGGCAAAGTGTGCTTCAAGCCCCGTAGGCCTAGACATGGACAGGATTATCAGTGATGCTTGTGATATAAAGGTATCAAAAGAGAACTACTATAACAAGTAGCCCGGCTAGCTCAATCGGCAGAGCGTGAGACTCTTAATCTCAAGGTTGCGGGTTCAACCCCCGCGTTGGGCTTTCATTTTTATACCAATTTTGTATTCCAATGCCCGGTTTATCTCTCTTTGATAGAATTTTTTTTCATTGTTGCACAAATTTTCTTGAGTCTCCACTGCCCCGCTGCCCAGACTAGTAGGCGGTGGCAAAAAACCCAGATGCGAATCACCGGAGCAGGTAGTCAGCAACAACCTTTGGCCTGAAACCACAGGCAGATCTTCAGCTCACAATCTCACTACACAAATTAGGCCTCACGCCTTTTATGCCAGGTTTGATTAGATAGTACTACCAACTCTGAAGTCTTCTTACTCATCTCATCAATAAGCCAAACCTTTTGCGCATGCCTTGTCGGTTATACATCCTCTACATTCACCATTTTGTGCAGACGAGAGTATGGAGTCTGGCTCAAGTAGTCGTCTTCTGATCTAGATGGTACGTGTATCTTGCACGATTGACGACTTCAAAGATCACCGTCGTCTTCTAAGTCTCCGTCACAATCGATATAGCCACTACAACAGTAGGAATAAGTACATACGACCACAGGGTGTGGAAAACAGGGCTTCCCGTCCGCTCAGCCGTACTTAAGCCACACGCCGGGAGGTTAGTAGTTGGGTGGGTGACCACCAGCGAATCCCTTCTGTTGTATGTTTTTGCTCAGCATTTCTTTTCTTACTCGGCTCAGTTACTAGACAGCTTTGCAAAGCGCTGTCTTGACAACTCCAATATTTGCACTGGAAAACGGCAGGAGGAGATGTGTTTTGCAGCACTTCCTGATCTTGTTGTGCAAGATATCATAGACTCCGTCTGCCAGAACCTTATTGCTCGAGGACGTGGTTTGGTGGCTTGCTGAACCAACTGATCTCCCACTGATAACCTGCCTAGAATCCGTGGAAAATGATCCTGTGCATGAAAGACCTTCGAAGTCCTGAGAAATCATTGAATCATCATATCTGCCAAGAAGCCAATTGCACTTTCTTATCTAAATGCCATGTCGTCAGGACTGTCGCTATCAACCCATCTCTCTTCTCCGACCCCAAGCTCTGACCCTGAATCACAATGTTCTTCTCCGTAATCCTGATTTCTCTTCTTGTAATTGACATCTACGCATACAAGATCGCCGAAAATCTCATTCAAATCTACCACGATCGCGGGACAGGATGTAAGAATGTCGTTGCCTCTGGCTTCAACGACGGCACCAGTGCCTCAAAACCCACCCAATACTGCGGCGACATCGCCGGGGCGTTATTCATTAGCTCCGCCGGCGGATACGGAGACATGGACGTGGACTGCGACGGGGTCTCTCCGACCTCGGGAGGCTGTCGCAACGACCCTTCTAAGCAGGGCCAAACTGCCTTCCACGATCAATTCCGGCAGTACGATATCGGCGATCTGAACGCATTTGTCCACCCCTATGTCGTCTTCGGAAACACGAACTTTGACCCGCAGCAGTATGGCATGCAGTCGCTGAGCGTGATGGCCGTTGTTTGCGGTGGACAACTGGTAAACCTGTGCCCCCCCCCTGCAAGATTCACTTTCCACAAACCACTGGGTGGATTACTCGACTAACCTAAGTGCATGGCGCTAGCACTACGGCATCTGGGGCGATACGAACGGAGGCAGCAAGACCGGGGAAGCATCGCTCGCGATGGCGAGGCTGTGCTTCGGGTCATCGATGGACGCCAATAATGGACATAACGAGGCAGATATTCTGTATATTGGCTTCACGGGGGCCAACGCTGTACCTGGCAAAAGTGCAGCGTGGACGACCACGACCCCGGAGGACTTTGAGCGAAGTATCAAGCCACTTGGGGACCGGTTGGTCGCTGGCCTGAAGTAAGAACTACCTGTGAGGCTGTGTCACAGACTTCGTGGACAAGGGAGATACTGGCGTGATTCGGTTGAAGGCTAACGAACCTTACGTCTCTTGGGCACAAATTATTACAACGATAATGATCAGCCAAAGCATGTATTATCCAGTATCTCCAATTCTATCGCCTTCTACAGAATACAAACATGTCACTCCACCGCATAGCTAATCTTCGAAATCCCCTTACTCCTCGAAATCTTGCGCACCTTCGTGGGCCCACACAAATCCGTCGTCTCGACATGCGTCCCGCCACACGGGTAGACCTCCGCGCCGACAATATGCACGACGCGAAACTTCTCCCCAGCAGGAACTCCCAGTGCCTCCCGATCGGGGATCAGCCTCTCCAGCCCCTGCACCCGAAAGTCTTCCTCATCCCACCACTCCACCTGCACCGGCAGCTTGGCCGCCAGAAACTCATCCACCTTGCCCTGGATGGGCTCCTTCCACTTCCCGTCAATTAGACCCCGGAACTCGCAGTTGGCCAGGTCGGGGAAATGCGAGGCCTTCAACTCGTCAAAGTCCGCAACCTCGTTCTCGAGGAGATGGCGCACCGCGGAGCCGAGCACGTGGCCCGCGGTGTGCAGGCGCGAGTACAGGAGCCGCTTCTCGGTGTCGATCGCCTGCTGGATCGAGTCCCCGGCTTTGAAAATTGCGTCCGTGCCGGCGGCGGCTGCCTCGAACCGGCCGAGGTGGAGGACCTGGCCATCGCGGGGGGCTTGGCCCATCCGCACGGCTGTGACGGTGAATTTGGTGGCGGTGGCGGTGTAGCTCAGGGTTCCCACGTCGGAGGGCTGGCCGCCTCCTTGCGGGTGAAAGATGGTTTGCTCTGTGATGACAACGTGGTCTTCATCGTTGCCTTGCTTGAAGAGGAGGCGGTTGGATTCCTCGAGGGCAGAGAAGGGCAGCACGGCTGTTACGGTGGTGTCAAGTGTATGGAGTTTCGCGTCATGCTGGTAGGCAAGGAATGTCCGTGGGGCGTTGGAACCCATTGTGAGGGTTCGTGCTGCAGTGAGTGGAGGGAGACGATGCAGAGAAGCAAAAGCTGTTCTTAGCATTGAGGTTCTTGGGAAATGCGCAATTGTGTCAGTTCTTATCTGGGTTGAGTTGCGGCGATCGGGAATAGGAGATAGATCGGAAATACCCCAGCATCGGGAATATCCCCGCTGCCAAGACCGGATCACCCGAAGGGCGCGAAGATGACATGCATCTCTATGCATGGCTTATCACGACTATAGTATATAGGTTCTCTGAGTCGATCTATTTGATTCTAACCATACCGAAAATCTGTCAGCTAATTGAATCTAGACCCTTAACGTCACTTGTTGTGCATGACTTACCTCATAAACTATGGGTCCTCAAAGCTTGAACTCCTACCTGTCTCTGTAGCGAGTAAGCTTATTCCGCATGTGCCCCGTATTCGACATCGTGCCCAACATCCACCATATTTATACTGTGCGTGTATAACTTTTCCGGCAGATTGAGATTGCTTAAAAATGCCTGAAACGAGTTTTTGTTTGCTTTTCTGTTCATGTTGCTTTAGGAATAATTTGGCATCTGTGGGGGGCGACTCGCTCGGTGTGTCAGGACAGATCACGTGGCATAAACCGATATATCTTAGTGTTAGATTTGATTGAACACCTCAAATTTCAAATGGCGAAAAAGCCCTCAGGCGTTAGTACATTTAATGTCATACAGATGCCTGGACAGAACAACACTACCGAATCAACCCGAGCAAGAAAAAAAATTGGGAAAGGAAAAAGAAAAATGAAATACAAACACCAAGGAGCTGTCCGATCGCCCATCTGTGAACAGTCAAATGTCGAAGAAATCCTCACATTGTTTCTGAATGTTGAGATCGATTCATGCGGCGGTTGTCACAGGGCTCACTGCTGGCAGGACATTCATATTCCATTGCCGTCGCTGTCTGTGGTCAACGTCGCGCTTCCTTTGGTGCATTGATCGCAATCTACAGCCTGTCCACTCTTGAGCTGGACCAAACGACCGTTAAAGTTCGTGTTCGATTCCCTCCCTTGAGGACAACATTGGCCACAAGCTTATTCGAGCCCTGTTTTCACGAGGTTGACGAATGCCAGACGTCTGGGATTTAATATCATCGATGATATTAGCGTCGCAATCGCGGTTGGTTTATGTTAGAGGCGCCTTCTAAGCTGGCGCCTGAGGTGAGGGTAGCTGAGAGGCCTAGTGGGGCTAAAAAGGATAGCTATAACCTTGTAGAGGTGTGGCTCTGCAGGTGACGCTTCGTGGTCAACGAATGGACAATAGCGCAGCTGTAGGCGATACTACCCGAGTATCATGTCGCATGCAGGTGGTGTGGGTTGAGATCGTATCCATATCTGCACCATAGGATGACCACAACCCATGTCGCCACAGATTTCTGGCACTTCGGGGTTAAAGATCGCATAACGCCAGGAAAGGTGTGGCTTAGATTCAAAGAGTTAAAACCCGAAGCGGTCAACTATGTTCGTGATGAGTCGATGCCCAGATCCACCCTAACGGTTCCATAAGTTGGAACATAGCTTGTAGATTATATAAGCACTAACCCAGGTGGATGGTCCTTAGATCAAGATATAGTAAAAGTACGGCGTCAATAATGTCTCTGTTTTGATTCTTGCCGCCATGAGTGCTTGCTGGCACGATTCACTGTGTTCTGGTGTTGTCGCTACTGGTTAGCGAACCTTAAGTCTCAGGCGGTTGACTAGGCTCATTAATCAGCCTATCTCTTCCCGAGCTAGCTCGATAAAGTCTCTGACTGCAAAGCTCATGAATAGCATTATCGAGTGGTTCCATGGAACGTTTCGAATTCTTTATGACTCCGTATACAGGTGGGGGCTCCGCTGGGACGGGTGCATCAATTTTGCACTCTTTCCATGGTTAAGGTTTCGGGAAGGGCAAAACAAAAAAGAGAAAAATCTTCTTCCTACGTACTCCGTCTCTAACTGAAAAGCATTGTTCAGCACAGTTGAAGTAAAGTCTCCGCCGCTTCGTTACTAATTTGTCTCATTTGTTTTGGTAGGGAGACAATCCAGCTTCATAGATCATACCTAGCATTGACCGTCGAAATATCAAAGGTCGAACCCAGCCCACTGTGCCCAAAGTTGCTGAGCTGTTATAAGTATAGGATGCAGCCAACCATACACATCCTTCAGACTTTTCATGGCTAATAGACCATTCAAAGCTGTAGGCTGTTTGCGATGGCCACTGGTGATGTGTCCACATCTTCACTTTTCAATGGGGCTACTGACCTAGGGAAACGCAGATCTTGATCCCTTTCTTTTTTGACAAGGACGCCTGATATAGAGATAGAGGAGAATTATGCGACTGTCAATTATGTCACTGTGTATGCTTGTTATTGAAGTCACGTGAGCTGGCTCCAATTCATTCGATATGAAAACCACCTCTAGATATGAGAAAGCCTGGCCCAATTACCTGAGGCATCGCCATGGCTGTAAAAGTCTCAATGGAATTTGGGCTGTGGACCATAGCTTTGGTCAGTACGTCGGATTCCTCTTGACTGTCGCGCTGTGCCCGGAGACGGGTTGCACAGAACGTAAATCTTCCACTTACCATGCAAAAACTCAAGTCAAGAATCACAAAATTTTCATTCATATAATGCTTGACAGGACATAGATAAGTCATTATTCGAAGGAAAATGCATATTACTTTTCTCACTACGGTATAAACAACAATCCGATCATTCGCAGGAAAGTGAAAGATAGGGCACGTATCTTACCGTCATATATTTACAATACCCTATACGTTATCCAAGCAGCTCTCACTCTACCAACCAAGCACCAGCGTATCTTCCTGTCATCCCTGTCATCAATGCCCAGCATTACTTCGGCGGGAATGTCCGAAATATGAAACCAAGCCCGAAGTGCCACCGGGCTGGTCGGACAGAAAAAAAAATACTGGATACGTACTGAGTAACCCTCTCCTATTTTACTCTTCTTGTGCCCTAACCTTACGTGACCACTGACCATAGATGCTGTGCTGGCACCCGAACAGAAGAAAAAAAAAAACCTAGACGGGTGAGGCTTGGGTGAGAAATGGTGCCCCGCCGACCCGGTATGTGGGTCCGCTGAGGTTCGGTCAGTCTCCGACATCGAAGATCGGGACTCAGAACCAGGCTTTGCATGCCGGAATGAAGAAGAGGGCTGTTCGTTTTCGTTCGATATCGGGAAATCACGGCATGCCGAGTAGGGTGGTCTCGGAAAGGGGGCTACGGTTTCGCCCGATCTCACGAGAATTGACTTGCCCTGTGTGTAGACTTGGAAGAGGATTTCGCTAATAATAATAAGGGAATTCTCCCTAGGGGGGGCAAGAAGGGGGCTGTTTGGCAGTATTTTCACACATTTGTCTGTCGGTGATGAAATCATACCGAAAAGAGCATCGAATTCGCCATGTTGATGGTGTTTATGGTGATGATGTTGTTGATGATGCTGAGGCGAGTACAGGGGCCCACTGGTGAGGCGTGAGGCTTGGTTTGGAGGAGGGGGGGGGGGAGTCAGGGCAGAGTTTTGCTCTGACTCTCCTGGGAGTGGCAATGGTCCATGGGTTACAGCCGGTGAGTTGAAATTGCCTAAGGCTGGGCATCTCCCACCACATTCGGCCAGCGTAGGTTTGAATAGGGGTCGAGTATCATCAATGCCAAGTCTTGATGGAATGACTGTATATTGGTTCAACTATGGCTATATACTGATTGAGAAATTTGAACAATATAGAAGAAGATAGACTCGAAGGAGAAAGAAATAAACGACGACAGCGGACAAACACACCATAAACCACGGGCGCTCAACATGTATATGCATATATAAATCGCTTCAAATGATAACAACCGAGAACACACAGAGTTTTGGGACTTCATGCATCGTGGCCGACGAGGGAGATAGATCATTCGAACAACTCGGACACATCCTCATCCCGACCTGGCCACATGATCCTCTTCAAGAGAACAGCCCTAATGGTGCTCACGAAGACGAAGATGAACATGCAGATCACGCAGAGGGACATGCCCACGCCCACCCATTTCAACGCGGCACTGTCCAGTGACTTGGCCAGGGTGATGGTGGCGAGAGTGAGTCCGGTGTTAGGGAAGACCATAGCCCACCAGTTGAGGTGGAAATCATGGGGAGGCGCCCGCACAACTGAGCCCAGAGCGACACAGAAGAACCAAATGCTCAGAGCCCAGAGGAACATGCCCGCGCAGACGGCCAGTACTCGCATGATGTGACGGTCGTCCATGCCACCATCGCCCAGGATACTGAAGCCCTCGGGAAGGCCGTTGGCCATGCCGATGATAGCCAGCAGCGTGAAGGCAGGGGGGCCGACACAGATGAACATACCAGGACGGTGCTCGCTCGAAGGGATGCCCGTCTCCATCAGACGCCCGATGTAGTGGGCGTACATCATGAAGCTGATGCAGAATCCGAGTCCCTGGAACGTGATGCCGGCAACAATCATAGGCGTGGCAGACACCGCAGGCTGGTAGCTGGAAGCGGCAGAGGCAATGGTTCCGCTCAGCATGATAGGGAATGCCGGTAAGATCCATGATGGCATCATAGTTTGCAGAGGGAACGTGTGATAGGAGAAGACAAAGGAGTACTGGATCACTGCTGAGGCAAACGTGAAGATACAGTACGCCCAGAAGAGACCCTCGAGAGCATAATTGAGGCGGTGCGTGTCTTCAGTAGAGAAGTAGGCAGATAGACCACTAATCATGGTGGCGATGGAGAGCCAGAAGGTTGGAAAGAAGAAACCTTCTCGGTCGTGGCGGAGAGAGTCCATCAGGTTGTTGTAAAGAACAAACCTGGTGATCATGAGAGAGCCGATGATAGTAAAGAAGACGAGATTGGCTATGTATACCACCAGGCCTATCTCCTTCAACCCCTTGAATTGATACGGCTGGTTGCGGAGAAGAAGGGCCAGTCCACCTGCGCTCATGGTTAGGGTATACCAGGCCCAGGTGAAATGACGCAGCCGTTGGCGGATGCCCAGCTTAACAAACTCCTGATGTTCATTATTGCTGATAATGGGAGATTCCTGAGGCTGGGAGACTTTGGTCTCGGGGTTGACGGACTTCTCGCAGGCGTGGTTCAAGGTTTCCACGTCCGAGATGTATGGACTAGATCCAGTGCTGTGGTCGTGCATTGTGGTAATTGTTTGGGTCTCCCCAGCAGGAGAAAAGGTAAGAAAGAGATTTTGGGCAGCAGGGGAAAACTACCACCGATAGTGGTTGAGAGACAGCGACGGGGGACGTTGCAGAGAAGGGAAAAATCTCAAACAGGCTTTCCAGAATGCAGAGCTGGTATGGCTACGTTGAAAGGAGCGAGACAGCCTTTTATTCAGAGCGAGTAATGGGGCCACAAACGTACCGTAAAAATTATGTAAGTAAGCCCCAGGGAGGGGCCCACAGGACAACAACAACACCGCGGAGAGGAACTGCCGGTACGTGTGACTGGGGTGGTATGAACATAACTTTTATGGCATATAGGATGTTCATAATAAAGACAACGTAATTAGAGGAGAAAGAAAACCAAATCATGACAAGAGAACTACCAAAAGCACCTGCCCAACCTAGTCTTTAGTCCTAACAACACTCTGCATATGTGCGTAGACAGAAGTTACCTATAATGAGAGACACCCCATGGGCCGCTACGATGGCCGTTCTGGCCTCCATGGGCTAGAACAATCATATACCAGAGCTGATCTGTAAAGGAGATCATCGATTTCTGGAGATTCATTCGACACCGCGGGGTGCGCTAGACCTGCCCCCCCGAATCCCACAAATCGAAAGAAAAGGAGACAAAGAGAAGCGTGGCGGTATCCCCTGACGTACTCAGGCGTTACTAGGGGTATCTAACACTCCCTAAGACATATCTACTCAGTATAAGGAATCCTTGTGCTGAGTGTGCATCAATGTGATATCAACCGAGGATCAACCGAGATGCTTCATGATAATCGCTGGCTTCGGCCAGTACAAGGAAGATGGTAACCCTGGCTGATACTCTATTTCCAAAGAAAATGAAAATCAAGGTGATCTAAATATTGAAGTATCAGACCTGTAGAAATTTGTAAAGCCAGTGGACTGATGATTCTCTACCAAGGAGAGGGGAGGAGCAGATGTCGGGTTGCCGTACGGGTATTCGGAAGCCAAGTACGGTACCTTACCGAGTCTATGGTACCTGTTGCAATGCCAAGTGACTCTTGTTCCAACTCCAAGCTTCGGTCAGGGACTCAAGGCCCACTGTGGCGGGACGGCTTTAAAAATCGCCCGGCCAATCGGACCGGGGACAAAGCATCCTGAATCAGAGTCACCACATGGGCCACGGCACATTGAGAATTAAAGAGAGCTTATGTGCGGTGGAATGGACTGGTTCAGGTAGTAGCAGATTAGATCAAGTCTACTGCCAAATTTGTGGTGACTCCATTCGATATGAGGAGGAGACACGGTTTGTAGAGGGGTACTGTTTCTCGGCCGAGACATCCAGCTGCCCAGACAAAAGAGAATGAATAAACAATGGAACGTGGTGATTTGGAAGAATGTCAATCAAGAACGCCAAAAAAGAGCAAAAACAAGCAAAAACATACAACAGAAGGGATTCGCTGGTGGTCACCCACCCAACTACTAACCTCCCGGCGTGTGGCTTAAGTACGGCTGAGCGGACGGGAAGCCCTGTTTTCCACACCCTGTGGTCGTATGTACCAGTAAGATAATAACTTCTATCTATATTCCAAAGATTCCAATTTCCCATGTCCAACAAGCAATAGTTCGTACAAAGCATTATTCCACGGGCCAGTTTTGACCTCTTATGCGTAACATCTTAGACCAGATTGCCATATCAGGATTGGTGTGTTTGCGATCACGTAGATCTTCTTTCCTCCTATCCCTGCAATGGCCGGTCGCATCGAGGCTCAGGGAAGTATTGGCGATATATGTTTCCGGGAGTGGTGGGATGACACCCATGCACGTACAATAGATTTGTCTCTAGCTACTGCAAGCCCCGACCTGAGACCGGCCCACAGATGATCGACAATGCATCACTCAGATGCACTCTGATCTATGTATCCACGAGGAGATTTCACTGTGCACAATATAGTATTAGGCTTATCATGATACCTTAAGCTAGCTTCTGCCGCTGGGCAAGGTATCGAGGGCGAGGCTATAAAACGAGCGAAATGGAATTCTAGGATCTGCAGATGCAGTTCGAAATATTATTGTACATATTTCAACAAAAATCACATTTGCGTTCGACCACTTTTGCCCACTGATAGAATTAGAAAAACAGGAACTTGGAGGGGCGGCTGGCCGCATTAGTATGAACAGATTGAGTCAATGGCGTAGTAGTAGTAGCTGATGGGATGGCAGCAGACGAGGAGGCCACCGTCGCTGAGCTCGATGTCACGACCCCAGAATCGGCGGACGAAAGAGAAGAAGAAGAGAAGGAGGCGGAGGAAGCAGAAGAGGATGTCACTGCTGTTGAGGTCATCGTCGCGGTGTTCGACTCCAGACTAGGATTCGAATAGTCCTCCTCCAATTCCCAGACCGAGTAAGTGCCGTCGCCTCCACCTAAGCGACAAGTGTCAGTCGCCGGTCAGTCGGTTCTATCAACGCGGTGTTGGAATTCACACATACACTTGTCATCGGGATAGCCTGGACAATCCGTATCACACGAACCACCCATACTACCAAAGGCGGGGGGCTGACTGCCACACCAGCAGCCTTCGCCTTGCAAGGCAAAGAAATAACCCTTCTCTTTCTCGCACAAGTCCTGGCACAAGCCGGCAGATTGGTATGGCGACGAGCCTAGTTTAGTCATGTCCCCAGAACTCTTCATGCAGGCGTATGTACCCCATTCAAGGGCTTGGGCCGAAACAAGGAAGAGTGCTAGAGCACCCAGCGCGTTTGAAGACGTCGAGATCATTATGAATATGGGCTATTGTCAATGGTAGGTTAGAAGACACAAAACAAAGTGGGAAGAATGACAAATTCGGGGAAGACTAAGATAAATAGGGTGGAAGTGCAGCCCCAGGAAAAGGCAGTCATTGCAGGACCCTGTGAGATTCAAATTGGCTGCATTTTGGCTGCGGCCTTTGGGGGCCGCATATCCATTGGGCCAATTGAACGAACACAAGGGTCTTGCCTCAGATGAAAGGTACCCCTGATCTGAGACAGGCGTGGTTCCCATTGGCTGATTTCAGAGTCGAGTAATCTCGGCTTTTCGAAACCGGATTAGGGTATTTCCTAGAATAGGATTGTGGATGAGGCTATTCCCAGTGGGGGGTTCCGCTTGTCGGGATCACCCGAATCTTATGCCTGAGGCAGCCTTAGCTGGCTGATTGCGGCTGACTTTTTCCCTACAATCGAAGTTAGATCAAATAAACAAATTCCCGCCTCTTAGTATCAATGTTAGCATCTCCTGCTCCTCGCTCTCTACATATGGTCAGAAGATTACTACATCTTTGGAACAGTTGTCTCCTCCTGTATCAATACCGAAGGAAGATCTCCCTGAATTGCCTACTCGCGGTCTACGTTCCTTACAACATCAACGGAGAAATTGATCAAGTAACAACATTCAAATCGCGCAAAGTGTAATTGAATCATCCTTAAGCATTTTGGAGAAAGAGTAGCTTGAAGCGAGGGCTCGCCACGGAGGTAGAATTGGCATGAACAGCACTCGCCAGCGGTGTGCTGCTGGTCCAAGGTACGACAGAGACAGAACTGGAACTGGTAGGACCAGATGACTCCGAGGGCATAGCCAAATTATCAGCAGTAGCTGTGCTCTGAATTGTGCCTACTGCAGTCGAAGCTGCAGCCATAGTCGAAGCGCTTTCCCCGCTAGAGATGCTCGGATGGTCGCCCGGCATTTCCCCAACCGAGTAGACACCATCACCGCCACCTACGTCTCGTTAGTCGACTAGAGACAGATTGCGATGGTGGAAAAGGTCATGAGACTCACACTTATCGAACGGGTAACCCGGACACTGAATTGTACAGGCTCGGTTGTCTGTTTTAGTCTCAAATGGCGGTGGCTGCTTGCCACACCAGCAGGCTTTTCCTTGGGTGGCGTAGTAATACGCGTTGACTTGGTTGCACATATTCATGCAAATCCCGGTAGACTGGTATACGGATGTGCCAACCATTTCCATGTCACCAGTGCTGGTGTAGCAGTCGGGCCTAGCGGTCTGAGCCGAGCTGAGCGGAAGTGCTAGGGCTGCCAGCATGGCAAAGAATGTAGGCTTCATGGTGTGGCACAATGTCATAGGGTGATCCAAATCTTGAAGATAACACTGACTTCCGATGATCACAGCAAGAGAGGGAAAGGAAGGACGATGTTGGCTGAAAAGATGAGAGTTATATGTCGTGTTGACAATCGTAGATCAGTCCGCAGAACAGACACTTAGTCGAGGTCAGGCAGCGACTTTGACAAATTCAAAGGGATTTGCCCCCACTCGTTCGCATTCAATGCAGGCCTATGCCTATGGAGATACAGTCAGCCCCTATCCTAGAGAGTTACGGTTATCGACCGGTTAGGCTAGGGTCGGGTGTGTCGGCAAACTGTAAAGGGTTTAGTCTGAAACCGATGAAGCCACATGCGTTCGTTTGATGCCCCGAGCAGCAGTGACCCCGGCCGTTTGGAACTGGCTCATATGATTGGAAGGCGATGCGCGATAGATTGGGCTACAAGTGCACAAACCGAATGACTGATTTTACCCCAGAGTTGACTAAAGTCTTGAGTTCTGGTGTGAGACAGGAGTCGGGGTTCTTGAAAAGAGAATCTCAACTACCTCGGTTGTTCACGATCATGGAAGTATTTAGAGCTTGCTTAGAGCAATGGAGTATATCTTAGGGCAGTTTCGGCTCGAGCCCTGAAACCACGAGGTCATTTATGAATACAAACTAGCTAATTCTAGTATGAGACAGGATTGTGCTTCTGCCATGTTCTTTGGTAAGAGATTGCAAAAGGAAACCTAAATTATCTCAAGACTGGTGATAGTTTTCCAACATCGATGTGTCCGTGTTGATCACCTGCTCGACCCTTCACGTAATATTGGTAAGATGACGCATCACGATCTAAGACAATACTAGGAACCTCAGTGCGATTATCTCATGCATTAAGCCCAAGGGAAGAGTAGGGTGCCATGAGCTTCTTCTCATCATTATGAACGGCGGTCTTTGTCGAGTTCGGCGATTTTTCTCCTCCGCTGGATGAAGTCATCTAGATGTAAGGGGGCAGAAACTCTATTCCTGAGATACCAGAGCACAAATTGGTGTCACACCCACTTGGCCTTGGACTTGAAAGTCAACCCAGGTAAGTATCTTGAAGAGAACAAGTTTTTCCAAGTGCGAATAGTATGCATACATGGTAGACCGACTGTGAGTTGTATTACCTGTGTAGTCTGCCAAGAGAGCCGCAGCATTCCATCACATTGACAGTACTTTCCCAGATGGGTCGTCTTTGCGTCGGAAAAAGTGCTGAATATAAGCCCCTGACCGTCCCTGTCTACCATGACACGGATAAAAACCAACTGCGAATTTCTGCTCTTGACGTTTTTAACCTCACTACTCAAGGCCATTCCGTCCGCACATTACAATCACCATGGCTTACAGAGATACTAAGCACGTTGCCATTATCGGTTGTGGCACAATCGGCCGCCAGGTTGCTCTAGTCTACGTTCAACACAACCGCACAGTGACTTTGTATGATACAAACGAAGACGTTGCGCAGGATGCTCTGCACTGGATTGAGTCACAGCTCAATCAAAAAGCGGACCAGCCCAATCATGTGAAGATCACCCGAGACCTAGAAGACGCCGTCGAGAATGCGTGGATGGTAATCGAGTGCATTGCCGAGGACATCGATGCCAAGAAGCAGTTGTTGAACACCTTGAGCTCTCTCTGCGCTTCGAACACAATCATCACGACAAATTCATCCTCGATTCGCAGCAGTGCCCTGGTCGAAGGCATCACAGCTGCGAGCCAACGTCGCATTCTGAACGCTCATTACTTCCCCCCAGCGCAGGGGCCTTTCGTCGAACTCATGTCATGCGGACAAACAAGCCCTGATGTTATCGAATCTCTGACGCAGGAGCTCCGCGAGATCGGGCGCCGTCCGGTGGTCTGCCAAGCCGACTCGACGGGGTTCATCATGAACCGTATCTGGGCGGCGGTCAAGCGTGAGATCATGATGGTGCTTGCGGATGGCGCGGGAAGCCCGACGGATATTGATGCGATGCTCAAGCAGGCTATGCAGGCCAAGTATGGGCCCTGCGAGCTCATGGATCTTGTGGGCTTGCAGACAGTGTGCGACATTGAGGAGATTTATCTAAAGGAACGAACGTACCTCCCGTCTTACGCACTGGCATTCTTCCGAGAGAACTATGTGGAGTCAGGCACTGGTAGGTTGCTGCCCCCGCCACGGGAAGAGGACGAGAAGCAGGTGAGTCACAGTCGACTTCGGGATCGGTTGTTGGGAGCCTGGGAGTTGGTGGAGTGCACATCGGTGTCCAGTCTCCAGTCAGGCTCCCAGCACAAGGATCATCCTTTTGGCAGAGACATATCGGGCCACTTGATCTACAGCGAGGCGGGTTATGTCTCCGCGCAGCTACGAATCCCCGGCCAAGCTGAGTTCAAGTCGGTTGACTACTGGACTGCCACGCCCGAGGAGCATTCTCAGGCGGCCCGACGGTATTTCGCATACTCCGGTCAATTCTACGTGGATGACGATGGCGAGAAACCAACCGTTCAGCATCGCTTTACACACTGTATCTACCCTAACATGATTGGACAACTGGAAAGACGGGTTGTACATTTTGAAGCGGACAATGGAAGTGAAATATTGAGGCTCATCCCGGAGGAGCCAACGATCACCCCGGAGGGCAGGGAGATCATTCCCGCGTTGACTTGGTGCCGATTATCGGCGAATAAATAATGCATATCGAGAACAGGTCAGCTACTCTGATGTATCTAGCATGAGGCAAAGTATGTCATGCTAAGCTTGATGAATTTGTGAGAATGGCCTCATCGCGTAGCCAAGATCACTCAGTGCGCATTCATTTATGAATGACTGTTTAAGGAGAGAAAATGCTCAGTAGAGAGCCGACCTGGCTAGCCACAAAGTAGCATTGAGGATCTGCGTTTACACGATTCTGAGTCATGACACGAGTTTCGGCATACTCAGAACTTCTGCATGATGCAAATTGTACATACATTGCTGGTCTTGTGACGTGTACATTAACGAAAAAGGCAGGCACGGATTTCTAGCTTCTCGTCTGACTATCATGCTTTACTAATATTTCTGTGAATATGTGGATCAGAATGAACAATGGTGCGTCACCGTTGGAGGTTCTATATAATGGGCGAATGCCCTACTCTTTCCAAGATGACAAGTCTAGCCACCTTGAATTGTGCCTTGCACATCAGACATAATTCCAACACGCAATACCATCCTGCAATTATTTCACCATGCCGAAGAGGATCATGTCAATGTCCGCGCCTGAAGAGATTATTGAGAACTTCGAAAAGAAGGTTTTCTGGTATTTTCAGCTTATGGGACATCAGAAGCTCAAGGAGGTATGTCCTTGTATCTTTGTAGCGTAGTAAAGAGGGACCCTGCTAATTCCTATCTCTCATGAGAACTGGGATGTCAATGCGGAGGATTGCTATCTTCGAATCGAGTCTGCAGTTGAACGCCCCGATACTTCCGTGACCTACCGATTTGTGGTGACAAAATCAATGTGCGGCCCCCAAATGCATCTCCATGGAGGATGCGCTGCTACTCTTGTCGATAATTTCACGAACGTGCTTATTATCGCTGCGGCCACGCCGGGTCGATTCTCGGACTCCGGCGTCAGTCGCAATATGCGCATGACCTTCCTGCATTCTCTTCCGCTAGGTGCTGAGGTCCGGGCAATCTGCCTCATGATTAATCTGGGAAGGCGTATGGCGTTGGCAAGGGCTGATTTCTACGATGTCGATTCTGGGGAGCTCTGTGTCATAGGCGTGCACGAAAAGGTCAATATGGACCGCGAAGATGTAGGCAAGTTGTAGAGGCTTGCTCAGTCCTAAAGAGCGCTTTAGTCACATGCTTACAGACAATGAGATAATTCTACACAAAGACATGGATTCCAAAATCGGTGTGCTAGGTAAAGGGGGTTTGTCATTCAGAGCATAAGAGTGACGAATATCTTGCCCAATCCGGTCCCTTGCATGAGTCCTACATGTCTTGTAAAGGCTGACCTTGTTGTGTTATAGTGCTGGGTTCATATGACGTCTTGACATGTTCAGAATGTGGGCTCTTGGCTTAGACTGCCCTGAATATGAAGGCCCCTAGCGGTCAATCCTTTGAATACGTCTGCGAACCCGAGCGCCGTTACATAAACCTTCATGAATCCATTTCAATATGTAGGATATTCAAGATTTGGTGGGTCAGGAATTCCCTGCTATCCAAAAACTCTAATAAGATAGAAATCATTGGATAGTGAAAAATACCAGACACTAGTAGTGCTTTGCAATTCCAAATGTGATTGGATAGGCAAGAGAAAGCAATACAGAACAAGAAAAGATACACCAAAGATAAGCATGGCGTAGGCGGTGGTCACCAACAAAAAGAAAGAAGAACAAAATGAAAGAAAATGGGGTGGGGGGCGGGGGGGCATCGCTAGCTATGTTAATACCTTCTTCCCTGGTAGTCCATTTGCTGCATTGTCTAATGGAAATTTATGATACACCTGATTAACGACGCCACATCACCACAATATACAGAAACAAGGTTCACATGTAGTTAAATGATTAAGCATAAAATTTCATGTACCGGTTTACACCGACAAATAAACAAGGTTCGAATCCTACCCAAAAGAGAATCTTGCTAGTATAATCTTAAGTGATTACACCCCAATTTCTAATCCAGGCTCGGGAATGAGTCAGGCCCGCCAGTAGCAACATGAACACCTTATTAGAATAAATTCGATGAACAGCCACTCCTTCACCAAAAAGGAATATAGGGCAAGGTGCTCTGGAAGCTAAGCACTGTTCCAGACACCAATAGCAGCGAGCGAAGATTGTTTCTCAAGAATGGTAAGTGTGCCCTCAATGCAGTTTGACATGTTGGACTTCTGGAAATCAATCTGTGCGACGGGTAAAGGTAGATAATGACCGAGAAGTGACTTGAAGATTTGTGGGATGCTTTATATTCGATAGAAAAGTGAACGGAGACAGTTTAAGAACTAGCACTGGCGTCAAAATGATAAATACAACAATCATAACAAAGAAGAAGTCCAGCTACGTCTTTCTCTCCAACTTGATCTTCGCAGCCGTAGGAGAGATAGCCGAAGCTTTCCCGTCACCGTCGACGGTGAAAACAAACGTGCCCAAACCACGAGTTCCATAGTAAATAGTGTCAGTACTCCAAAAGTCCAGGTTGGTGTTATATTGACCCGTAAATGGACCGATCACGCCGAGATCTGCCGCATTGGAAGCGAAATAGCTGTACGTCTGCGGGAACCTGGAAACCTGAAAGGCTACCTCTCCGGCCACGCCACGGGGAGTGGACTTCGGGATGCTCAGCAGAAGCCGAGGCTTGTAACCGCTCAGATAGGGCGAGGCTAGCAGGTCGGTGTTGTTCGATATCCACTGGGTAAGTCTCAGACCATGGAAGTAGCTCGAAGAACCGACAGAATCGTCAGTCGCGATAGTGACGGAGGAATTGAGACTGGGATCCTCTGAGACGTATGTGCCTACAAGATTCTGAGCTGCCTCGAGAGCGGCCTGGGCCTCTAAAGCTGGAAGTACAGACAGAGTAATATAATCCAGGATCACGTTGGTCAGAGCACTGCGTTGGTCGCTCGTAGAGGCTGCGAGGATGCTGAAACCGGCGTCATAGTCTGGGATCAGAGCGACAATGCCGCCATAGTAGCCCGAGTCTCCCAGCTTGGTATAGATGTCTGTCACCCTACCCGTGGTGGGACTCACAACACGAACGATCTCCCATGGGGCGCCAATGGAGGCGGTCAGACTTGCTGTGTGCGTTTGAGGTTTCATCCATTTGCGCGTGGTAGTTTCGGGGAGTAGCGTGTGGTTCAGGATCGAAACACCGAATGTGGCGAGGTCGTTGGTTGAGGAGTAGATCCCTCCGGATGGGGTAGTGAAGGGGATCTCCAGATAGAACCCCGCTGCTGCGGGACCCGCAACGACAGCCCGGGCCTGGGTCACATTGCTCGTCGGCGGAGACGAGAACGTTGAGCTCAGGTTCAGGGAGTCGAAGACCTCTGTCTGATATATTTCTGATATTGACTTCCCAGTGATGTTAGAGATCATGAGTGCCAGCATCTCAAAGTTTGCGTCGGAGTACATAGGGGTCCACCAAGGCTTGAACGTCGGTGGCCGTGATCCCATAGAATCGATGACATTCGTGCCGTCACACAACTCAAGTGCCTCTTCAAGCGAGCCGTAGCATGGTCCCAGGCTGCTCGTGTTTTCTGGCGGAAGTCCGTAGGCTGTGATAGGGCTTACGGTGCTCTGCCCCGTTACGTATTGCCACAATAGATCCATGAGCGGCCCCCCTTGCGTAGGAATGCCCGAACTCTGGGAAGCTAGTGCCCACGGCGTGATTTCATCCCAATTGATGCTCCACGCCGGGGCGTCGATGGCTTCTGCCGCATATTTGGCGAAACCGGGGTAGATTTTGGAGAGGGGAAGATCCCACTGACCCTCGGCTAGAGAGAGCATGCCAGCATAAGTGGTGAAGAGCTTGCTGACGCTGGCGATGCGGAAAATGCTATCTCCATCCACTTTCCTGGTTCCATTGGTGGATTCTGCGATTTCCGGACTGGTCCAATGATACTGGAGTTTCTTCGCTTCCGGATCATGGACTGAGAATAGCCCGGCTGAAAACGTGATGTTTTCAATTCCTAGAAGCGTAGTCGATCCGTTCTTGGAAGGGTGTTTCAAATAGTCGTCAATGGTAGTGGTGAGATTCTCCCAGACAGCCCTAACATGGCTATGGGAGCTAGAAAGGTCAACCGGTGCTGGGTATATGGGACCCAGGCGGTCAGCAGTGGCAACGAGTGCCAAAGATGAAAACAAAATGATGGATTGTGTTGAATGCCGCATTGTGGAAGCTAATCCCGAGTTAGAGCCAGGGTTGGGACCCCCTCACAGAAGCCTGTGTCGTACTGAGCACTTATATACATTTCGTCCTGTAAGCAGACGTTTGCCAAGCATGGGGCACGGCATGCCGGGCTGTGCAAAGCTGCCCTTGAGGTAGCCTTGCATCTGGGTTTATGGCGCTCAGAATCCGCCGCACAGCCATCCGAATGCTGGACGGCTTGGCCCACCAGATCTACATCGTGAATCACTGAAACCGGATCAGGAATTGACGATGTAGCCAGTCGACAACTTCAATGGCGTAAGACAAAGTACCCACTTTGCCAAGCACGATCCGTCATCCGCTGCGCTGGCAAGGCTGGGTTGAAAATGATAATGGCTATGGTGCCTGCACACCAACATGGCTTCGAAGATGTCAACTGCGTCGCATCCCTGACAATAAGTATATTAGCTGAGTGAGCCCACCGCCTCAGGCCGCCAGCCAAGTCGGTCAGCTGATTCCGCTGTGGCTGTTTCAGCCAGAC